TAATCATATCTCATGGTTTGGGCATATTAACCCCTTTCCTCAGGGTTTGTTATTTTCTGGGACACCCTGTATATGCTTGTCAATATACATGTACATGTACGCTCTACACATACAACCTTGTTCTCGATGACGTTAGGCACATACCTGTATGTATGCACATGTATGGAGGACCTGCACAGGACATGCTAATGATGACTGTGGTTTTTGGCATAGTTTGAATTCAGGGGAATAAAACATGATTTATTCAGTCTGGTCCATCGAGTAAATCATCCCTGGAAGGAGTGTTGGGGTTATTTAGAAGCTGTTCTGAGGAATTGAGGTAAATTTCTTTCCATGCCCACGGGTACATGTACAGTACATGCACATGTTCTGGTAGGTACATGTACATGTACATGTCAAATTGCAGGTTTTTCTGCCCTCTTCACTGTAGTAGGGAAATATACATGTAGGTACCGGTAACACTTCCCAGATTCATGTACATGTACATAATAGATGGACATGTTGTCTTTGCATATGGGTAATGGGTAATGTCTTTCCCCTAGTTAAGAACAGGTTGTAAAAAATCACTGTCAAGGAATTGTACTGGCACATTCACGTGTACTGGTTGCAGGTATATACAATTGCCTCACGAGTATTGACTAAGGTACATGCATTATGCCTGTGTTGGAGATTTAAAAAAAGAAAACCTGTTAAATAAGGCATATCATTTTTCAGTTTTGGCTGCGTGTCTGTGACTGCTGCATCATTTTGAGTCTCCCAGCTTGAGCGTGCAGACAAAAGTACCGGTACCTGTAGATAATGACATCTGCCGCATTGCATCACTGCACCTGCGGGGGGGGGGGGACTCCCCGAACATACGGCCTGCCGGATGCCACAAACAATGCGAAGTGGAGCCAGAGCTAAAGTAAGCTGCCGTGGGGAAAGGTGCTCGCTCTATTAATCTCTGACCATCTCCCGTGGGTGAGCTCTCTCAGTCGTGCCAGCCGGCGTGCCATCAACAGGCCATGACTGAGCTGTGGCCACCAAAGCGTTTCTCGGCTGATGAGCCTGGCCTTATTGCTCCTCTCCCTCATCCTTTAACCTCAGCGAACCTATTGAGGGGCCCAGAGATGACTAGAGTGGTCCTGCCGCATGTAGGTTGCAGCCGTGGATGGCTGTACGTTTCCTTCGAGGGGCATTGTCCTTGGTTGCTATTGTCTCACAGCAGTGATGGTGGTTGGCGAGTAAAGTGCATTTTGAAGTATGTGCAGCCGATTACGCGAAGTGAGCCTGCAGGTTGGGCCCCCCCCCCAGCGTGGTGTTTGGAAGAGTACTGATGAGATGCTCCCACTTGCAACTCACTTGATAGTTTGTCCAGATGGAGGAGAGCTCAGGAGGAACCTGCCCCTTGTGGCCGGTGGCCCTCTGCCGCAGTTGGTCCTGTTGTGGCTGGCGGCCAGTCTCCCGTTGTGGCTATATTGCCATCTGTGGCTTGTACATGCACTGTACATGTACCAGTAGGTCTACCGAGGTCACCATGTTGTAGTGGCTACCCATCTGTGGTGGCTGGTGGCTACATCATGTACATGTATGCACCTGTCTTTGTTGGCCACCTTATTACTGCGATCACAGTGTACTTTGTATGCCCTTGATGGCCATGGCTGTTCTAGGGCCCTCTTTGTATTGTGGCCAACCTGTCTGTTTTTTTCCCATTAGGTCTTTTTTATCTTTAAAAAAAAAATTACATGCATATACAGTACATGTACATGAACATTACTTGCACCTTGGTATATGTAATTTTGTTCTTTCCAAGAAGTGTCCAAAATTAAAGGGTTTTTTTTCGATAACTACTCTCTAGCACAGTTAATTATCTCATTAGAAAAGCTAGTGTCATTTTTCAAATACATACATGTACATATGTATTTTACACAATATTCATAATTAATATTTACTTACATGAAATTTTCAAAATGCAGTGTACCTGTGTGTCAGTAAGGTTCACCCAAGTTTTTTGAGCGTGAGATTTGGATGACACGCCGAAGCTTTTGGCCGTGCAGATCCATGCCATTCAGCCCGTAGGCCCTCATGCACAAAGCTGGTAAAAGAGAACAATGCAAGGGGCAGAGCTGCTCTCCTCAAGACACTGAGAAATGCGGGTGAGGAGTGTCGCGCGGCCGGTTGCCACGGTAATGCTTAGTCCGCCTGGAGCAGCAGACAGCTGACCCCTCAGCTCTGAGGATGTGCCCCCCTTCGGGGAAGAGAAAGGAGGAGGAGAGAGAAAAAAATTTTTTTTTTTCTTCAGCTTCTTGGTAATGTGATTAAGGCAGGTGTGTTTTCTACAGAGACAGTCTCAGAGGACTTGTGCAGACATGTCTTCATACTGCGTCACCTTTCTGCGCACGTCAGTGTACGATACCATGATGTTATGCTCACTCGATCACAGTTCGAACCCTCACATGGAGGTGAATGGTTGAAGGCCAACATTTTGTGATTTGTAATTGACAGTGTTTTTGTGTGTTCATGTGCACTGTAACTAGAAACACTTGTCCGTTTGCATCTCGTTTCACAAGAAAAGGTTCCCTCGGCCCCTTTGGTATGAGTTTGCTGCGAATGGCATCCACCGTTAGTGTAAGGCGAATTGACAGAAGACGCGCGTGTACATTTTGCGATCATTACACTTACATTCTTCAGCAAATCAACTTCTAAAATCTCAGTCACTGAACTATTACACTTGAAACTGTCCATCCGATTACTGCATTGCCTGAAATTAAAACGGAAATTCTGCCGTGCAGTAATTGGACTTGTACTCCTCTATAAATCCACTTGTCCTCCCATCACAGTACACCCAGTCTCTCCAAAAACACGGCCTCCATGACAACAGAAACCCAAACCCAATCTGCAGTGAACAGGCTGGTGGGGGCTGTGCAGGGGACTCCCAGAAGCTTAGCAGGGGGGTTTTTCCTCTTTTTTTTAGACATTTCTGTGATCTGGTTGTGGTTTGCCACATATATCCCAGGAATGTCAATGTCAGTCGGCTGGATGTTGTCATCCGGCTAGACAATGCATCAGGTTTTTTAAGGTCAACTACCTGCTATTTGGTAAACACACTGAAGTACATAGTGCATGTTTGTAGACCTTTGGCAGTGGGTATTTATTGCCCCTGTGGTTTTTAACAAGCATATGGCTGGTATTTTTTTTTGGGGGGGGTTGGAGACATAAAGGAAGAAGGATTCCTGACATGGTCTGTGAAGAGAATTGAAACCAATGAATGCAGTAGGTCAAGTGTGAAATTGCCCAAAGGAGGGGAGTTTTATTGATAGCGTGCATGAACGAAAGAGAGCGTTCTCTATACCTAACAATGACACCCAGCTAGAGTCGCACATCCTACCTTACATCTAGATACATGGGCGTGCTGGTGTGCGGGGCTACGTTTTAACCTCGCCGATGTGGTGCGGGCTGTACTGCCAGTCTCTTTTTTCACTAGTATTCAAATTTTTGTTGCCTCTTGTGATGGGACTCTTGCACTCAGAGCCCATACATGTACATGGTCACAACAATTCCCGCCGTTTCCCCACACCCACTCCCCAAAGGTTTATAAGGCATACATGTATAACAGACCTTTCTTTGCCCCTTGAATCTCTAACTGTAGCAGTCAATTTCTGACCCTTTAGTTGGTAAGAGCTTTGTTGGAAGTTTACGAACCTCAGTGAGGGTTATTGTTTCCTTTTGTGGGTTTTCATTGCTTTTTTCATCCTGTTCGTTTGGTCAGCCACCAACACATTGAAACTTAAAAGACTCTTAAGTTGCAGTGGTGCATGTAAGTGAGTTGTTCTACTTTCCAGGTCGTATCTGTAACAGGTGGAAATGGTGGAGTTAGGCAGGAGATATACGTGTACAGTGCAGTATTTACATGAACCTAGTGCCATTTCACTGACTGAGGGGTTTGTTCTCGTCGTTCTGCTACTTTCAGAAGATCCCCATGTGAAGAAACTCCGCGACATTCTCTCCAACATCCAACCGCCCGACGTCTACAACCGGATGCCCCGCTCAGTCAGCGTCAGATGGTCCCTGCCCCAGGTGCATTCGGGGAATGTGGACTGCTGTTCCGAGGATGACGTTGACCTGTCATCTACCCGCTTCGAGCTGGTCCTGTCGGAACGCAATAGGAGCGGCTCATCCAAAACATTTTACTGGTAAGTTTTTCCCCTGGTATTGTATTTCATTCTGTCGATCGACCCACTCAGTTTTGTGCATTTTGCTTTGAAGCGTCAGTTCTATCCGCCCTGAGCTGAAGTGCACCCCCACCCCCCGGCAAAAGAAAGACAGATGGTACTAAGTTTTCCCACTTGGTTCTTGCCTGTGTTCGGCGTGCACGCAAAGACCGTATATTCCAGACTAAAATTTGTGCATACTCAGCGTACTCCACGTCATACATGCATGATCTTGGTGCACCTGTGAGGTGAGTTGGTACAAGAGGACTGTCAGTTTCATTTCAAAGCACTCCCTCTTTTGCTCCTTTTCGGAGCGGATAGAGTGCTCCCAAAGGATGCAGTTTAGTCTTGATTCAAGTCTCCAAAGTGGCCAGTGGCTTGGTGCTGTGGAGAGGTTTGTGTTGCAGATGTCCTGGGGCAGTTTTTCCCCTGGTATTATAGTTCAGGCAGTCCGTCGATTCTCTCAGTGTTGCTCATGTTGTTATGAAGAGTCCGTCCAGTCGGGGTGCCACCAAAGGATCCAGTTCAGACTTGATTCAAGTCTCTACAGTGCCAATGGCTTATTGCTATGCAGAAGCTTGTGTTGCTGACGTTCTTGGGCAGTTTTTCCCCTGTGTTTTGGCTTACAAAGTCCATGAATTGGCTCAGTGCTGCACATTCTGCTATGAAGAACCACTTCTATACTGTAATGTCAATGCCGTGCTTCCAAATGGTCAAGTTTAGTCTTGATTCAAGTCTCCACAGGGGCTAGTGGCTTTGCGCTGTGGAGAGGTTTGTGCTGCTGATGCCCCTGGGAAAGAAGTTTCATTGTATTGGTTATTTTTCATTGAGGGGCAGAAAGTCTGCCACCACCTGTTGCAGCATAACTCAAAGTTGTTGAAAAAGGATGCGGCATTCATGAATAGACCGATAGCGCCTGTTAAGCAAATATCAGCAAATTTCAGCAAATAAGTAGCAAATATCGACAGAGACGGAGTCCTCCCACAGCAATGTGCACTTCAAGTGTAGTTTGCAAAAAATAGAGACGAGTTTTGGTATAGTACTCAGCACATCAATTGCCCAAGTACCGGTACTCTGCCGACCGTTGGCTTTAGTTTGGGTATTAAATGATACATGTATGACATCCTTTACAATGAGAGGACCCCATGTTTGTCGATCTGTGATACCCATTGTTGGTCACATAACTTAACGGGGCACAGTTTGTCTGTTCTGTTCACTGCGAAATAAATGGCCATGCCAAAGCTTTCAATACAAGTAAGTAAGTCCTACACAGAATGGAGTCCTGCCAAGTTTCTCCCACATTCAAGGTCCCCGCACAATAGCAGGTACCGGCATCACTTGCAAACTCACCGTCCTCTGCCTCGTTGCCAAGTTGCCTCTTTATGCTGAAAGGGGAAGGAGGTCCATCTCCGCCACTCGCGCTGTATCACGGCACGACCCTGTTTGAAGTCCAAACTAATGGTATTTGCACGGTCCCACTACCCCTGCTGGCTGTAGTTGTGATGGGCTTTATTCCCAAGGGTAGCGACAATTTGGAGGGGAGGGGGCACTTGAAACCTGGACGAGGATGGTTCTCGATGCCATTTTGCCTAATGCTATAAACTGCATAAGTGTGCTACCAACGTGTTGGTACATGTACCGGGTAGCTCATCGATGCCGTCATCATTTTGTGTTGATTGGGAAGACCTACCGGGTACCGGTGGCTCATGCAGTTTGTGTGTTTCTGCTTGTCTCCATATAATTATTGGAAGAACAGTCTACATAACTGGAACTTCAGCTTTTAATTCTGTCTACATGCAAGTCTTTCACCTCTTGTTTTGCAGTTCCACAGTTTTGTTCCATCTGAGGTAGTGACTGGCAGAAATGAAGTGCATAACACACAGGTACCGGTACATGTCCTGGTACCCCGTAGATTGGAAATACTGCAACATCTACATGTATTCCTTTGTTGATCTTAATCATCTGGGGTGTGTGGAAGATGTTGACAAATCCATATTGTCTTCCACAAGGACAGCTCACAAGTCACTCATACCTCAGGGGTTTTTTTTTTTGGACAGTTTCTGCTCTGACTTGGTTCAATGAGGTTGACACTGAGTTAGGTTTGATAACTTCCATGTTGAATGTACTGGCACTTTGGACGTTTTCTCATTACACTGGTTTCAATCCAATAATAATCAAAAGCAGCATCCCATATCTGGCCTGTTAAAATCAAACAAACAAAGAAACAAACCATTCTGTTACATTCTTTGCGGAAAAAAGGATGGACCGTGTTTTAGGGGGGGTTCCCCGCCCCAGAAACAGACTCACTGTACAAACAGGACAAGCTGTATCTGCCTATTTCCTGTGCCAACTATGTGCTGCACCAACTACGTGCTCAGCTGGGAACCGGGAAGTCATACACCCACCATGCCAGGCAGGCTGACGTAAAGCGGGGCAGAAGGCAGTGGAAATAGACGGTGACTAAGTGTCACATGTTTGTGAGTTGCGGCAGCTATGTAGGTACATGTACCTTGACCCAGAGAATCCTTGTCTCCAGACTGTGATGTCTAAAGGAACATTTCCTCTTTGGTGCAGACCGTGCAGTTTGCATTTGTTATATCTTTGTATTTCACACGTGCCCTTAAGTTTCCAGTCATTCTAAAAACAGATCAGAACTTGTGCATTACTGGTACATTTTTACATAGAAAGCTCACCTGGGAAGGGAAAATTCGCTTCACGCCTTTTCTCTTCCGAAAGGAATTAGTTTTTCATTTTACATACTGTGAACAATTTTCCAACAATAGGAAGACGATTTTATATGTTTACAGATTTTCACACAAGTGGAAATTTACTGAGGAAAGATATTCATAGAGTTTCTCTCTAGTGGAAAAAGATTTTTACTATTTCCACTAGTGGGTAAAGCATTTGCATAGATTTTCACAAACTTGGGAAAGGATTTTGTTAAACACACTTTCACAGAAGTGGGACAGATTTTCATAGTCACATGTAGGAAAATATTTTTGCAGATTTATCCACAAGTGAGAATTATTTCCACGCTTGTTTACACTAGATGGAAATTACTGCACGCCCGGTGACAGTTTTTTAACGAAAATGTCCATTCCAATTCACAGTGTTGACTTTCAAATACAATGTAGCCCCCAACCATTTGCAGAATGTGCTTTAAGCCAATTCCAGGAGATTTCAAAAAGTTCTTGGAAGAAAAAAGAAGGCTTTTAAAAAGTAAATCACCACATCAGTCTCTACGTGTAAGCATGTATGGTTGAACCGTGTTATTTTTGATGGTGTCACGACATGTTAGTTTGGTGTAATAAGATGGGAAAATTACCAGTCCAGCCACTTCAAGGAGTTTGTTTACAAGCATGGCAGTGGGTTTTTGCCAGAAACCTAGAACTCAATTTGTACAATGATGTCAGGTTGGTATGTACTTGAACCTGAAGGTGACAGGTATTAACCTTAGGGGTCTGGCTCCTGGAAAAACTTCAGAACGTCCTTGAGTCTACAGATTCTTGGCCAGGACTTAAAATGCTTTGTTGGGGCAGGAAGTGTTGTGTTACCATGATTTTTCAAGGAACCTGCACGTTCGAGGACCCAGACTTGGGCAGGCATGGACATGCAAGTCTGTTGGACACCGGTGAAGCGATTTTTCGGGTTTTCATGTCTTTAACCCTAACCCCAAAGCATATTGTTTGGCTAACAGGACTCAGTACTCCAAAATACTATGTAGAAGTCTGAGCCTGAAGGATCTATGGGTAGCCCTATAAATTACAACTTATGACTAGGGCAGTTCCATTGTTACTCGTATAGAACAATAAAGTCATGCAAGCATAGTGCCAGAGCACTGTGTGGTACATTGTCTTATCTATTGTATTTTATGGCTTCAGAGAACAATAAGGTCATGTCCTCATACAAGTGACAGCGCTGTTTGCTACATTTTACTACTAAGTAGTAAGTTTTAGTATTATGTCGGGTTAGGGTTAAGAAGAAATGCCGTGAATGTTGGTGTAGAATATAGCCTAGTCAAGATTGAGTGGCAAGTTGTAAGTGTCCCTTTGAACACAAGTTTTCTCAAGTTGCTGATTCTCCCCTCCCCTCCCCTCCCCCGGATGCCAATTTGGACTCTGTGTCCGTCCCATGCTTCAAATTATGGCCGCTTGCACGGCGATGTTTAGTCAAGGCGAATGTTGATGCCCCATTTTACATGTAAATGTTGACTAAATCCCCATTTATGCAGAAACAGTCTTCAAAGCGATTGATTTTCTGACCAAGATGATACCTACCGGTAGACCCCCACATATTGAAACAAATTCCAACTCTGTCGTGCTGCCTGGTCTCTCCAAATTGAAATGGCCTGAGTCAAGTTTACGTGCTGTGGAAATGCATGAGTATGCAGCACATGTAAATCCAGGATGGTTGGGACAAGTACATGTGCAGGGTTTGAAAACTGATGGGCTGCAGCCAAAGAACCATACAATTCTTGACAAAATTGTTAGGACGTGTGTCAATAGCCATGTACCCTTTCCGGGTCCCCCCTCTCCTCTGGTCAATTTTGTCATCTCTAGCTGGAGCGCATACCGTACATTGAGACCCAACATTGAGAGGGGGGGCCAGGGGATGGGTAGCCCGACGAGATTTAGCCGAGATTGTAGTCATGACAGTGTCGTCAAAGCGCGTCAGTTTTGCTGCCACAGAGCATCTCCACTAAAAGCAAAAGGTTTCCAGTCCTGTGTAAAAGCGAGATAATGTAGTCACTTTACTGCTCTCTGCGTCGTCTCCCTCATTCTCCTCCCCCATCCCCTGATGTGTCGGGCCCAGGCCCACTTGTCTGGCTGTGCTAATGCCTCAAATTAATCAAATGTAGTTGGCTAATTGCATTCCAAGGTGAGTCGCCGCCTGCTGAACACGCTGGGCAGAGGTCTTCCTCCTCTGATTATCTTCCCAGGCAAATCACCATGAGAAAGTTATGCAAATAGTGATGATGTCAG